GCTATTTACGGCTGATATACCCTTCTACCTTGTACTCTCAACACGAACAGACTGTGCAAATAGTGCTTCACTTTTTAGAGTGGCCATATAGAGGTATGCACTGAGTCTAGATCGCAAGGCAGCCACACCATTGTTGTGCCATTTTGGAGGTTCATTGATATGTGCCATTCGTGATGTACAGGTAGAATCACACTGGTCTAGAGTAGCAGAATGTGTGCCTGTCGAAACTGTTGTTGGTCGCGGCTTCTATCTCATGTTAGCCACAAGCTTCGGTTGATGCTTTCATTATAGCACAAGGACCTAACACGCAGTATGACCATTTGTGGTATCATTACGGCATCTCTCTTTGCATATTTCTGAAGAAAACGTCAGCTGGAGCCGCCGGCTGGGCGCTCTAGACAAATCTGATTCCATCTGCACGTGCATCGGCGTGCAAGAGGTGTCCCGGGAGTCTCTATGCACCCAAATCACGGATGTCAAACACCGCATGTGCAGCAAGTTCTTGCGAGTGCGGCAAGTAAGCGGACCTTGGAAATGGCAACCCTGCCGCTAACGCATCCCACGGATGATGTCAAGACTTATTATTTGGTATAACAATACAATTGGTTGGTATCGCATTCATTGCTGAAAGCGTAAGTTTCTTAGCAATGTAACATGTAAAAAGGTGTAGCTGCTTCACAGGCTTACCGACACCAGAACCACCAGCGATGGCCCCACTACCGCAAGCTGTGCATATTAAAACCGAATTACAGCTGCTATGACCACGAGGCAGGCTTTTATTAATTAGATGACTTTATAAAAGAAAGCACGCAATATTCGGACCCTAGCAACCTGGAGTTCAAAAGGGCAGAGTTTCCTAGGGGCTTTTACCGCCACGGTGATTATAAACGCGGATTTGCTAGTGGAAAGAATTATGAAAAAGCTCTTCTACATGATGATCCACGGATAAAGTATATTAGAGGAAAAGTGTCAATGCGTTCCCACCATTCACATGTTCTTCTGCAAACGCGAAGCATAAAAAATGAGATTGCACTGTTCAGAAATAGACATGACAGACATGCTGGCGGCACGCGTGCAGTTGCTTTTGAAAATTGCTTTATTACATGCCGGACAACTCTTCAAACGGGCTATCGGCAATGTTCCTGGAACGAATGACGTCCGCCGATAAACCGCCACCACAGTTTCACGCTACCGATTGGACTAGGCGTCATGAGCCCCTGTGGAAAGTGCGTTTTGCAGTTAAGCGGACTTGCTCAACAGTGTTGCGTCGGCACCAAACATATCATCGTGGATTTGAGGACGCATGCGCAACCACTGTTTATTCAGCATAATAAATAGGTACGCGATGTGACTTTGGTGCCACTGAGAACAAGATGCTGTGTATTGACGTGCCAGTGTGGCTATTGCCGGTGATAGACGCTCCCAAATTGGACTTTGGTGCAGTTTGGTGCAATTTCCATTGATATAATCAGGATGGCACTGCAGCTCGCAGGATCGAATCTCAGCTGCGGCGGCTGCATTTTCGATGGAGGCGGAAATGTCGTAGGCCCGTGTGCTCAGGTTTAGGTGCATTAAAGAACCCCAGGCGGTTGAAATTTCTGAAGCCCTCTACTACGGCTCTCTCATAAACATATGGTGGTTTTGGGACATTAAATCCCATATATCAATCAATTGAGTAACTTGGGCAAGTTTTAAAACAGTACTGACGTACTGAAATGGTGGGAAGGCATGCTTTTTCAGTAAATCCCACAGTCCACTGCAGCAAGTGGTATTGTTGATAAAGTTTGGTGATTAATAAAAAGACACAACTTGTAAATTAAGCACCCTGCATGAACTTTTATGATAGTATATCACAATAAATAGTACAATATAATTTTGTGAAACAACTACACAATATGGTCTATTCAAGCACATACATGTACTGCTCAGTGTAGCTTGGTCCACAACAGTTGGAAGCTATTTTATTGAGCTTAATAATATAATGCAGTATGAACTAGCAGTAGTATAAAATTTTAAGTGTGCAGTACGGGTCAGCCTGAATTGTTTCGTATGGTTATGCCTGGCAACTACTTCAAGTACATAATACACATCAGTATGCTACAACGACCACTCAAAATTACAGTGGTACCTTAAATATGATTTACAAGCATGTTCAGTCTTCTTTTAACACGAAAGTGTTTTATGCCAGGGTTCATCATGACTCTGATAGCATATTTCCATCACGAATATGATGCTGTAAAATATATTTTAACAGCTTGTGAAAAAAAACAAAACAAGAAAAACATCTGTCGTGGGGCGTCAAACCAGCAATCTCTTCAGCTACAGCACGCGGCGCTAGCTGCTACACCCCAAAACGTATGGTGACGAGAGTGCTAAAGGAAAGCCATTTATATACACCATATACTGTTTCACAGTCCTCAGAGCTTTGTGAATTCAGCATGTTTTTTTCATCACAAGCTAGATGGCGCAAAGGTGTCGCGTTGCGCGCGCTCTCAAGGTTGTCGCTTGAAGCGTTTCAATCAGTGCCACAGAGCGTGGTCTCTTCTGCAGGCAGGCTTATCAGACTCGCTATTCGAGAAGCACAAAGGTGACTTCGCTTGCTGCCACAGCCACGTCTATGAAAGGAGCATGCTGCTCACACACGAAGAAGTAAGAACTGTGACAGCTGCTCGAGCTTGTCCTGTATATACTTGGGAGTTGGTTTCATGGGTCTTTCTTTCTGTTTGAATAGCATGCTTGAAGTGTCAAGCTGCACATCTTGTGTATGCTCGTTTTGTGCGTGCTTTCTGCTTGAGCTGTGCGCTGCAAGTTTCGAGCTGGTTGTCCTTCTTTGTGTGATTTTGCAATTTGTTGCTGCAGCATTCATTCCTTTGCCCTTGTGGCAAAACGATGCACGAAAAAACGCCCGACTACCTCTGTGAAGGCATGTTTCACTTTCATGTTATACTAATTCCTAGTAGAGGGATCAACCATATTTCTTCGCCGAAAACACTGCAGAATGACGGCTTGGCGCATGCTCAGCGCAAATTATGGGCTTTTGGTAGAGCTGTGCGAATAGCAAAATTTTCCTGTGCAAATTGAATCAAATATTTTTTCAATAGTTGTTCAATAATTATCGAATACTTCGAAGTGGAACTTCAGAAGAAATGTTTGCGGAGGATCCCTAAGCACATTCTTATGAGATAGGAACATGGAAGAGCTTCTTTTGACGAGGTTGGCAAAGTACTGGAGGAAATGTGTTCTCTAGTTGTTTTATTGAGGATGAGGCAATACAGAGACCAAATTGTAGTTATTTACATGATTTTCTGCAACCAATATGGTGTCCCAACACTTTACATGATAAGAAAAGAGCCGCTATATCCTCCACCTCTCTCCTCTTTTAAGGAGTACCGACACCTTTTTTCGGAGGCGAGTTTACTCTGGCAAGCAAATCTCCTGTATACAGAGACGAATCTGTGCAAGTGTGACACTCAGAAAATACTAATACGATATTTTATTTTGGTAATAAAGTCAATTTTCTTGCGGCACATCTACCGACATCCGACACTAACTTGATGTACAGCTACAGTACTAATCCTGGTGACTTTACACAGCAGTTTCGCGAGTTTTGATGATGTCAAGCACCAAAGACCAAAAAATGGCAGCTAGCACATTGCTTTCTTGATTGTCTATTTACACCGTGCAGTTGTACGGTTCGTCTATCGTGGAAGATGCAACAGTTGCCACACGTGCAGTGCACAGCAGACGAAACAGCCGATCGAAGAAGCGATGCGCAGACGAAGATAGATTATGAAAACTTGTGTGTACTGCCTGGTGGCACTGCTTATACGATATTGTGATGTCAGGGTACAGTAGGAACCGAAACTAGCTTTTAAAAGTATGCTGTAATTAATTTCTCAGAATTCACTCACGCTTTTCACTGCATTTCCTACACTCTCGCGGGCTTGGCCTTTTGCTTTTCGCAAAAAAAAAAAAAAAACAGTACGTGAAAAAATTACCGCTCCAACTTCTGTGGAGGCCTAACTGACTTGGCAGACAAGGGCGTGCTCCCTCTGAATTGCAAGTTGTTAATTTGCTCTGTAGACATCAATAAAATCATCTGAAATTTACAGATGCTGAAAATCTTAGTCAAATTTTTTTTTTTGGACTTTGTCATCTGAATAGTAATAATTAAAGCCCCAACGTCTGCTGTTTAGGTCCGAACGGGCACTTTTGTGAGTTTATCCATTTACAGCTGAAGGGATCCTTAAAGATAGCTTTGACAGAATACTAAATTGTGATGCAGCAAAACATTAAGAATATTATGGGGCAACTGTAGTGGCGCAGTGCATCTCCATGTTGAATCCAGTGTTTTCTTGAGACAATATGTTTGCAACCGTAGCACAGCCTGAAAGGCAGCTTTGTTGCAATATAAAATGTGACGGGGTGAAGCATATAAAAAAATTCGAAGGGGCCACTGTTAAGTGGTTTGTGACTCTATTTGTCTTGTGAAAGTTCCAATAATATATATATTAAAAATCCAGTGTAAATCACATCGAATAGCAAATACTATTTTAAAAGTACTCAAAAGTCGAATATTTGCAAACCTCTAGTTTTTGGCAAAAATGTAGCAGGATGTAGGAGAATGTAGCAAGTCTTAATGCACTTTGGTGCAATTGGAAAACTATCGCATCACTGTTCAAGTTGATTTTTGAACACGTAAAGCTCATGAAGCCAAGTATTTATCAACTATTTGGATTATTGAATGTTGACTATATATATTAATGCTAAATTAAATACTGTAGCACAGCATTTCACTCATTATTGGAAATTTTTAAGCTCACAAACCACTAGACATATTAAACTGAAGAATAAATTAATCCATAAATTATAATGTATGATTCTATTACCATGCCAATATGCTTTAGAGATATGTACTAGCTGGAATCATATGTTCAGGTGTTATGCAGACATTCATATTTTTAATTAAGTACAATAGCTACACTTTAGATGTAACATACCTTGCCAAAAGGAGGCCCAATCTCATCAAAATTGGGGATAGCTAGTGGCAATTTTTTAGCAGCATCTACATCGGGCAGTGTGACCAGTGGCATGCCTGCAGGCACATTTGTGCTCAACTCCATCAGAGGTGCTGTACCACTATTTTCCAGGCCAGCCATATCTTGAGGTTGGAGCAGCACAACTTGCTCAGTTCCATCATTGCCCTAAGGAAAAAACAAACTTTGCTTAAGACCAGAAAAAAAAAAATATGTGCATCAAAGTGAGCCTGTTGCCTCAGTATTAGTAACCATAAAAGACAGGCCAGGTTCAAATCCCAGTTGCTCTTCTACCAACGTGCATTTGAAAAAAGAAATCTCCATTGTTTCATATTTCCAATGGGCATACTTTCAGACATGCCTGATAACTAGGGTTGAGGTAATAGCAAATTTTAGATTCAAAGCGAATAGTGATTTGATTCAAATATATTTAGAATCGAATTCCAATAGTATGTATCACATATTATAAAGAAAAATGAGCATATTTGTCATGATCCAACTGCCATGTGCAATATTTTTTTTATTGAAACAAGACGTGCAAATGTCACTCTTATTGGTTCCAAGGAGGCCGAAGTAACTTTAAATAGTAGCAGAATTTGACTTCATTAGATTGCAAGTGATAACCAGCAAAATATCTAACATTTTAAAATATAATATACTTTAAGAATGCAAGCCGCTATAACAAGCTTTTACATTAAAAAAAAAGAAGAATTGATATGAAGGTAATTAAAAAAAAGAAGAATTGATATGAAGGTAAGAGGTTCATGCAACATTAAAAAAACTTTGCGACAGCGCAAACTTTTCCTGGAAAGGTGTACACACAGTGTATAGCACCCCTCCCCTGCAGCGAAACCACTTTACGAAGAGGGGAGTACATGCATATTAATGGACAATTATTAGTTTGTTTCGAATATTTGCAAATTTCCCATAATATGAATTTGAATTTAAGCAAATTCGAATATATCAAAATTCACTGGAACATTCGTACAAGCCTACCACAACACATATTATTGGTCGGCATAAAAAAATATAAGATGACATTACTTCTGCTTCATTCAGACAGAGCAATGCAGGGCCCAAATTTTTCAGCCCAGTTGCACTTTATTAAGCCCAGGCTCAAGACAGAGCCTGGACTCAGCCTTGATGTACAGGGCCAAGCTCAGCCTAGGCCTTAAACTCCAGCCCTGCGCAGTCCTGGGAATTACCTAATAAGCTTAACCAAAGCCTGTCTGTGTACAACCAGCCTCTACCAGAGCACGGTGGAGGAAATCTGTTTTTGATAATTATTTTACATGCCTTGTCCTATGTAGAAGGCAAACAGACAAAAAATATTGTGTGCATGCACTGAAATGTAGTTTTATCCACTGTGGTAACTTGGCAGTTATGCAGTTGTGGTGCCGGGCTCTAGGGCATGAGTTTGGTTCCCAGCAATGGTATCAAATACCTGAGAATACGAATAAAATGATGCCCATGTACTACATAAAAAGTCATCATGTTAAAAGTGCACTGACAATACATTGTAGCAAAAAGAAATATTGTTTTAAACAATGTGTACAATTATCATGAAAAAGCAAATACAAGCAAACCATGGCCATTCTTTTCAATGCTTTTGTCCATCCTTAACATTGAAGAGATGAATGATTCCAACAAATTTTTAAAAGAGGCTTCCGAATAATTGGCATGAGAAAGACAATAAAGCTTAAAATTATAAAATAGAGCAGCAAGAAAGAGCAGAAAATATAGCCACAGCTGCCATTCACTTCTTCGCTCTTGTCTTCTGCCACCAACACAGTGTGGCAGAAGACGAGAGCGAAGAAGTGAGTGGCAGCTGTGGCTGAGTAAACAGTCCTCCACTTGAGTTCCTGCCTTTTGTTTCCTCTCGCGACAATATGTAGATTGTTCAAATCATAACTGCAACATGAAAATGCAATCATCATGTAGAATATAAGTATAATGAAGCTCTCACACACAATGATTCAAGCTATACCTCTTTAAAAAAATTCCCCCTTTTCTTTTATAAAAAAGGAAATACACTTGAAATAATGTACAGTAACATGAAAACTGTTCCAAAATATGATTTCATAAGAATGGACCATTGTAAAGGCTAGCAAAACGATATAACCTACATGTTTTTGGTGTAAAAACGGGAGATTATCCAAGCTCTCTGCCTTCAAAAAGGTCCTCAGCTCTTAGTATATGCACCTAACTGCACTATGAATTGCTTTCACTATACACTGGCAATTTTCCATGCCATGTAAAGATCAGAGAAATAGCCTGAAGACTGAATTTTCGGTCAATTAATTTTTACGTACACAGAAACATGGCTTATTTGGAAATTAAAAAACTAGAGCTTAACTTGTTTAACTTGTTTTTGGGTTTTCTGTGCTAATGTGAACCAGCTCTTTCTTTTCATGTGTCACTTCGGTGTGCAACAAAATGATTTGGGCTATGCAATGCATGGCGTTAGTGCGTGCTCAAAAGTCTCACTTAGGCCCTTCGATATAAGTTGGCTCAAATTCAGCCATGGTTGATAGACTCAGGCCCATGCAGAGCTGTACACCTAGTAGCCAGTCTTTACCATGCCACTAAGAAGTAACACCTCAATAATAACAAGTACTTATTACAGTAAACTCCTGTTAAGACGAACAACACGGGACTGTTTGTTTGGTTTCTCATAGACTCAATGCAAAAAAAAACAATCAGCTTAAGACGAACCGCATAACAAGCCTCTTCTGTTAAGATGAACTCTTGTAGCAACCAACAATGATGGGGATTCTGCGCAACAAACATTATAGTCTTGATAGTTTGCATTCAGGCAAACAAGGGAAAGCAAGATCAAGAAAAACATTTTTCTTGGTGCAAAGACTCGAAGCAAATCGTAAGCAGATTTCCACGTGAAGGGATAAAGAGAGATAAGTGGAAAAGAAAGGTCAACACACTGGTATCTCCCTCATTCCTAGCCTGTTAGTGGAGAAAGGGGTGGTTTAAGCCGCAAAGAAAGCAACAAAAAACCTTCGTCCTTTCGTATTCTCCTCGCATTACTGAGTTCCCCAACAGGAGTACAGTGGAGAACAGAACACAAGAGCATTGCTAGTAGAAAAAATGCAAGGAAAGGGGGCAAAAAGAAAAGCCAAATGAAAGTGGAACCAGGAATAAAAATTTTCTGTACATTATAATCACATGAAACAGACACCGCATATGCGGCTTCAGCACTCCCATCAGAGGAGTCAGATGCATTGTCATCGCCGTCACACAATGGCGCCTGAACACATGCTGTGGTCAGTTTGCATTTTTTTACATAGGGCCAGTGCGCATCATCTGTTCACAGTGAAATGCAGCAAATTGTGATGCGTCATTTTTATTATGAAAGTGCACGACAAAGGAAGGTAATTTTGCACGCTAAATGCAGTTGCATAGTGTCATTTTTGCGTGCCCAAAGTTTGTGATTGTGAGTCATGTAAATGGAGATCTTCAGCTGCACGTTGTTCAGGAAAAGTTACTGCGGGCTGAAAATAAGAAAATATCCAAACCTCAAAAAAAAAAAAAAGCTTGCACGCTTTCATAAGCAACTTAATGTATAGTGACTTTTTCAAGGTAGCAGTATGCAACAGAGGTGTATTCAAAAGTGATAGCAAAGTCAGTAAAACAGCTTTTCGGAAGGTGAACAACCAGAAGAATAAATTTTCCACTCTTTGAAGAATAATTGTGCTTCTTTTTCCCTTTCTATCTTTTTCTAATGATCAAAATAGGGTCATGCTACAGTCTTATAGTTAAAATGCGGTAGCAATTTATTCATGAGCATATTTATTGTGAACTTGCAAAATCGAGTACTCGTTAGATTAGTCCTAACACTCTACTTGAAAGCATAGTTTTTATCAAGCTGAGCCAAATAAATGCTTTTTCATGTTCCTTTGCTGCCCCATTATAAGTATACTTTATTCAATATTTTCAAGCAACATATAGTGGTAGTGGGAAGTTAAACCTTACTTATGAATCGATTGATCAATCAATCAATCAATTAATCAATATTTTCAAGCAACATATTTGGGCATACTTGACACGTTAGCATTTGGTTTTGGGGGGTCCTTCTGATAATACGAACTCCTGACAAGATGAACAAATGATTGTGGTTCCTTTGAGTTTCTCTTAATGAGAGTCTATTAAACTAATTATGCAATTAACCAGTCACGGGCTGACTTTTCTTTCCTGTTCACACAAAAAATTGTTTGCACAAGACAGTCTGCACAAAAACTGCATTTATTATTATGTATTTAAATAATGTGGGCACTATGTTTTGGTATACTAATTTAAAGGAGTAATTATACGATTTTGAGGCCCCCCAAAAGGAATATTTTTCGTATTTGAGGGCAGTTATAGCGTTACAGCACATTGTTTCAAGAGTATTTTCTAGGCTTGTATGAATATTCAAGCACTTCGAATATTATAACAAATATCAATGTACTCAAATTCACTTCAATTCAAATTTATTAAAAATTTTTAAGCATTTAGAATGAACAAATGAATGTATTAGTCCGCATGTAACTCCTCCCTGCAAAAGTCATTCCCCTGCAATGAAGGGGTGCTGTACCGTAAATACATCTTTCAGAAAAAAAACCTGCATTACCATGAAGAACGTCTATAAGTCCATGTCTTTGCGAATTGTACACAGCTGGTCTACGGTGAGCTGTCCCACTACCGCTGGGCCTGAGAACTTCCAGAATTTCCTTTCGCAGTGATGCAGGTATGACGAACATGTACGCGCTGCTGGTCGAAGAAAAGTTCTTGTATAGAACGTCATTCCTTAAACAAAAAGGCGGTGATCCCTTTCGCGGCATGTCTTCACGTCGTCCTTCTAAGAAGTCGATGAGTGCAAGCAGTTCTGGGTCACCGTGCTGCTCTTGTGAAATAGTGGCCGTGTTGATGACTCCCAAGAATACGGCGTGGCGCCCATAGAGCCATCATTGATAGCAGCAGGCTTGGCGAGCGACCACAAGATCCAGTCTGTGCCAGTATGCCACTTCCCCGATTTATGAATTACTGTCATATCAGACTGTTGATGCCCAAGGCTACAGCGTGCCAAACGGCCAGATGGGTTTTTCAGGTTAGTCAGCCAGCAAAGTGCGTGCTACAAGGAATACAAAAACGGCAGTGCAGATGCACACCTACCAACATGATGCACATACCATATGATTGATGCAGCGCAACAAAGATGAAAGGAATACAAAGTGCAGAGGATGAGCACTGTAGTGTGCTAGCACCGCGTCAATCATGCAAACATTCCTACTATCCCAACTCTCCATTCTACTGAAAGAATCTTCCTTACATTTCTGTGCAAACATTTTAGTTTTCTTAAAGTTAAATGTTGCCGAGCCATACTCTGGCAAGAGCAAACAATGCCATCAAAAACAGCTGCTGGTGTGAACCTGTAACACCTGAGTCCATGAAAAGCAAACAAATATTCACCCCAACATGAGGCAAACGTTCAGGTGCAAGTGCCCATCATATGCCACTTGAAATGACATACAGTCAAGCCCCAAAACAACCAATGCTGCTACAAAAACTACCAGAACAAACAAGAATTTATTCCACCAACTTTTAAAAAAACCTACCCAAGCTTAGAGCAGGTTGGTAGCATTCTAGAATTGTACGTTCCAGATAAGAAGAAACAGCTCAGACACTGGACATGGAGAAAGCAATAGACAGTGTGCTGATGACACTGAGAGAACATCACTAAAGATATTTAGCCGTCCAATATCTAGTGCTGTTTGTGCCTCTGTTCCTGCTCAGCTCGGTGCTCTTCTCCAGAACTGCTGATATTTTACAAACACGCAGGGCAGCGAACAGCGAAGAAGGTAGACAAACACATGCACAATGTTTTTGTGGGCTTGTGTTTGTCTATCCTCTGCTTTTCGTCGTATTGCTTGTGCCCAAGATGGTGGTAATAAAATTTCAATCACAGAAAACAATAAGAAAACAGTCCCTTCTCAATAAATAATTTTCCTAGAGGTATGTATGTTTAAACAATTGTTTTCACAAACTAGGTCGAATAAAAAAAACTAGGTCGAATAAAAAAAAAATACCAATGTACAGTCGTATGGATATCCGACATGGATAGCCAATGGACATACTGTGAAAATCCATGTCTCGTGTGACTGTTTTCTTGGCGTTCAAACTGGATGTACAATCGAACATTCAGTTTTAAACATTGACTGGCTGTCCTTATAGCGACATACCAAAAATACATGATTTGTTAATCATTGTTGTAAAATTAGAATGCAATGTAAATATATATGGGTCTGCATATGCATAGGTAACAACTATCTAAAATAACAGCATGATACTATAAATTTTTTTTAATTTTTAAGAAAATGCTGCAGTGACACGCAAATATTCGGCTAGATTAATATACAACTGGGCACGGAGCACTGTATACTCATGCCATCACTCAATGAGGAAAGTTTAAAACTTTCTGAGTTGTCAATGCTGTGTCTAGTACAATGTGTTTGCTTTTTCCTGGTTCAACAAAAAGAAGCACAAAACGCTACATGGCTCTGCATATCACTTGGTTTTTCATGTAAACTAAGACAAAAATGAGGATCGAGCGCGTCATAGCAGTGATCATGTAGGCAAGCTTTCATATGAAAGCGCCAACCTCCACGTTTTTCAACAAGCAGTGCACCGCAGTTGCTCAGATTCCTCGACGTGTTGTGCCCCTCTCGAAGTGTTGGAAAAAAACGCGCGCCATTATACCTATTGTCCTGAAACTTGCTTGACCAGAGGCGCGCAGTGAGAGAACGAACATGAAAAATGAGGGCGTTCACGTCGCGTCGCACCTACGTTGAGCCGGTCTCCGATAATTTTTTTTTTTTTCAAGTGAGCCCATGTGGACATCAGCAGCAACATGTGAAGTTACGAAGAATGACTTTTTGTTGACAAAAACACAGAAAAACACGGTACAAGCCCACCACTGTTCTCGGCAGAGATTACTGCAGTAAGGAACAGCAACCCCGCACTTAGTGGACTCTTGTACACATGCAGGGTTTATTGAATATGTACTAGCTACGTACACACAAACACATGATATATATATATATATCCACTGAAGGGCCTGTCAATGTTCGTGTCTGCTGTCCTAAAAGAATGTTGAGTAAATGTACAAATTTGTTACCTTTGCCTGAACAATTAACTGACTTTTTAATAAAGTTTTCTCTCTCTCTCTTGCACATGTACATTCGTGGACGCATGATGGATGCTTGGAATATCTCAAATATTTGTCCCAATGTATGCCTGTTAAATCTCCATGATTACTTAAGTTGCTTAGGAATGTCACCAAAATACGAGATAGCAGCTCAACAATTTTGCAATAGCTAGCAACTTCCTTTGCGGTGCAGCCACAGCACAAGATCCCGATTTTCATGTAAGACATGAGCTAATCACACACACACATAACAATTACTATTTCACCAGTGAGCTGATTGACAAGTATGAGTGACAATGCAGCTAATGTATTCAATTCTAATGCGCAAGTGTTGCATCTTCTCCTCGTCCTCAACAGCTTCCACCACGTCAGTGGCGTCATGTGCACATCGCGCTTAGAAATAACGAGGCAATATGATTTCGCCTTAAGATTTGCAGCCAATGCTAAGTCAAATTCAAGCTACTGTCTGCCACAACTGTGGCCACTGATGCTACATCACTAATGTTGTACTCACGAGGCCAAAGAGCTGGCCATGAATGTAAAATAGATCAACAGAAGTTCACCAGCAGTCATCCAGCACCATACAATTTTCCTTGAATATGAATTTTGTGTCGAACGATACTGATAAAAATTGTATGACACTTACCTGGACAGACAGTTGGAGGACACCATCTGCAAAGACACCACTGGAGCTAAGCAGGGACAGTTGTGAAGCATCCAGTACCAATGTTCCAGATCCATCCTGAGTGGCCCCAATCATGATGCCTTGCGTATTGCTCAGAAAAGGAATGCTCAAGTTGACCACTGGTAAGGCAGCCATCGCACTTTCTCCAGATGATGCCTCAGTGAGGAGTGTCGAGGTGTCTGCCAAGATGCCATCCTCCATAAGGCTTTCAATCTCATGATCTTGAATCTCCATCGCACCATGTGGCAAGTAAGTTTGGTTCATTCTGTAAGCAAAGACAGACATAGAAGACAATTCACTTTGTTTTTGCATCCATTGCAGATCTCCTGCTCCTCAGTATCTAAAAACCTCCTCTCACAGGAGAATATAAGTCGGCTCACACACATAAAGTGTGTGTGAAAAATTTGGCAGAGCCTCACATTCGCTAATTCCCCACTGTCACAAGCAAGTGCTTAACCTACTGTGCTGCCACCTTCAAATGACAGCACAAAATCCCGGTGACAATGGCTAGTCTCGTCAGAGCACGTGCCCCGAAAAATAAGAATCAAAAGGTGCAAAAAATGCACTCCTTCAGCCCCTATGGAGAAGAAGACTGCCAACAGCTAGCACGCTCTAGGGATTCACGCGCAACACTTGGGAACACCTAGAATCGAGTCATTATTCCACATCGAGCGAAGCCGCGGCCATGCACAAATGCGCTTCTTCTCACACCAATGTGCCCGAAGGAGCTCACCCTTTCCCCAAGCCTTTACTGTGCTTTAAGCAGATGAGTTATGTCAAAGAGTCTCGAGCCCTAGCACAATCCAATATAGCAACAGCAACAGTACTTCATTGGTCCACACAAAGAAGGAAGCAGTTACCATGTTGAGGTGTAGTTTGGTTGGCCAGAGAAGACATGTTAAGTTTTGATTATCTTTGTAACTCCGGTCGTACAGGACGGATACTAAAAAAAATGGGGGCGATAAGTTCGTGCGGCACTAAGATACTTTACTGAATTCATTCCATGGCTACTTGGAAAAGTGTTGCACGACTTCTCCAAGATGTCTTCATGTTTAGATATCATTTCAATGAATCAAAATATTCGTGTATTGAAAATGATGTAAAATTAAACTCAGAATTTTACAGAAGTGGGGATTTATTAAAAAAAATAAACTCTAACAAATACTGAATTTCTGCCAGAAAATAAAACAAAGAACTTCAAATTTCAAAAACTCCAAAAACACTGAGCCCTATATGATGTAATGCAGTCAGTCGTTCTAGGAAGAAGTATGGAGAGATGATGCCATGCGAGCAGTGAAGGAGAGTTGCGATGACAGTTTCAGTGAAAGAACATGTGATCGCCAACAGCCGAAAGGGAGCAGCTAGCCAGCCCTACAGTTTACGTGGGGGGGACTCCACCAGATATTCACCGAGTACATAATATAAACTTGCGTACCCCTACGTTGATGATTGCAGAAGCAGAGAGTGAGATAGTATGTCTTAGAATGAAAAATTTATTCTACTGGAGTTCATGCGCTTCTACATATGCCTCAATCGCATGCGTATGTATTTAGCGTCGTTACCTAGTCAAGCTCTATCCACACAAAGTAGCTTCAGCTGACCCAAAGGCTGATATTTTCATGTATTTGATCCGTAGAAGCTTTTCCTGGTTGATGTACAGCTGATCTCCTGCCTTGGTCGCGCTCCCAGTCACAGCTTGCGCACGCATAAAGGGGCAACTCAGCTGTTTTCACCATGCAAAATTACTTTCACTTGACGTCAATGTTCATAATAACAGCGAGACACCACTAATTGTGCTTCACAAGCCAACAAATTACATCGCACACAGCTCAGTCGAGCCCGTAGGCATTCTATGCAAAATTGTGGTCCATCACCATTATGTGATAATGATGACACTGTGTTTGACTTTTCTATCGGGAGGCTGTTCGCAACATGGTTTCGGTTTTATTTTCCCGTGCAGACAATTTTCGGACTCTATTTATCACTAGAAGGATGCATATTAGATTCAACTTTTTAAGGTTGAGAATAAAGATTCGTTCACACCTCCTTCAACTAAGTAATGCTGCCATTAGCTGCCACTGGCATGAATAATTTAATCTGCCTTCCTTGCAGAGGCATGAGGTCGTGCCATGGGCTTATTCAGGTGATCTGTACCCATTTCTTGGGCAAGGCTGAGTGTCATTGCCCATAATCTTATTTTTTCGATCATATGACACCTGGTTTATACGATGGTTTTGCTTGGTCCCCTGAAAGGCGTATAATCGGGGTTCCACTGTATGTTCTCCATTAGACAGACATAGTTGTTCGTTGTTCGAGCTGTTTGTAAGTGTGTGTGTGTGTGTACGTGTACTTTTAGCGGTGAAGGCTGCGCGTTCGCAGTTTTTTCGACACATGGCGACGTGCAACTTCCCACCTGTCATGGCTTCACGAATGTGCCTACAAGCCACCAAGTGGGCTTATTTTTCTCGTCAGATCCTGCTGAACAAACTAAGATATCATTCTTCAAGGCTGTGCTTAGTTTGAAAGACACATAGGGAAAAGTCCAACAGCCGATGGGAATGCGAAAAATACCATGTTGCTCCTTACATGCCTGTGCGCTTCAAAGTTTTATACATATGAAAATAGTTTTCAAGCAGTCGATGCAGTGACGATTGCTAACAGAATATTTTGAAGATTTTTTTGTGATTTATATGCACCAACCCATGCTGCCAGTGGACCGCGAAAGTGTTTCCGTGGAATACCAGGCAAGAACGGTCGCAGTGAGCATGGAAGCCATGGGGTTAAGGGCGCACAAAGTGCGAGTCATGCAAGGCATGCCGGCACAGCAAGTGCGGAACTGTACAAAAGCAGCAAAAGCCAGGAAGACCAGATGCACAGTGGAAACGTAATCGTGCTACACCATTCGTGCCATGTCACCATCTAAGAAGGACTTTAACAGGTCTGGTTTACCATACTAAGACCTCCTATAACATGTACTACTCCTGTGTGTAAAGTAAGCTCCGCTACATGCAAAGAGTGGCTTATGCTTCTGTTGCATTAAGCCTTTGTGGTCCGTAGTCAGGCAGTGCCCGAGAACGCAACTAGGCCGTAGCAGATCGATGTCAGGAATTCTCTGACAAGGGTGTTCGCGGTTTAAATGTTGTGGTTTTCTAACTGCAAGTCACCCGCATTTTTTAAACACTGAAGCTTAAATACTGAAGCAATATCTGTTGAAGAATAACTGAGCTTTATTAGTTGAGGTTTGGTTTACTTTTTTTTTACACCAGGAGCACGGAGCCTAACGTTTACCCACTCCCGCACGGTTTGCTGAGAAGCATGCCCACATTTTCACCACGTGCATTTCACGATGATGCTTTTAGCAAAAGCGAGAATGACTTTAGTGAGGAAGAAAATTATGCGCCTCCACCAGACAGTGACGACAGTGACTTAACAGAAGTGAGTGCTAAAGACGACGGAGGTGGAAATAACACCTCTGTTTTTCTGCAAAAGCTCCAGTAAATCCCGGCCTGCACCCAGTATAATGCTTTGAGCGGTATCATATACTGCCCAAAGAATCGCTAAAGAAGTTGCCTGCAGAATGCAGGAACAAAAATAAGTATCCTGCGAGTTTTTCTTCCACAGTTTGTGTTTCTCTTCATGGCACCAGAAACTGGCAAAATAGTTTCGGACTAGTAGAGGCAGAAAGTGGGTAAAGGTTTTGAACCGCAAAGGGTCAAGTTTCATCAATATTGCCACGACGTTAAATGCTGCTGTCTCCAAACATACGCACTCTTCCCATGAAAACATAAGAGTTTGTTTTCTGCACCATCTGATAATGAAGAGATAAACCTGCAAGCACAAAATGTAAATAAATGTATTCTGCTTTATTGCTGTTCTAGATTTCAAGGCAGCATTGAGAACTTCAAAATGGTGCTGCCAGCCACATTTTAAAAATATTTTGCACATTTTGTTGGTCACTAAGCATTTTCTTATGGCAAGCAATGTGATTTTGAAATTATATCAGAGTGATTTCCTACAAAACAGTCAGTCCTTATTACAAAACAGTCAGCGTCCTGTCTGTCCTGAGTTTTTTTTTTCTTTTTTCAATCAATTCCGTACTCCCTACGTGATTTACTAATACAAGAAAAAATATTCTTTTTTCAGTTTCACTTTAAAAAATCTCTAACAATTGCCTTTATTGATCTTGGCTATGTCTCTCCTAGTAAGAACTGAAACTTTCATTTACTTACATACTCTTCACTAAGACAACATTAACAGTAAGGTAAGCAAATTTGGCATATTTCATTTTAATGAAGAATTCATTTTACTGCAATGAAACCAACCTCTGCTAACATTCACAAAACAACCCATAACTACATGCTCAATGCTTTATGACAGAGCAAGTAATACATGCTTCACCCAATGACCAAAATGCCTTGCTTGAAATATTGTTAATAATAAATTGATTATGAAAAAAAAACCAAGAGTAATAATTAGGCAAACAGCCAGTTTAAAAACTTCCAGCACAACACAGGATAAGATGCTAATAAAAATTATACAAAAATCTAAATTAACTTCTATAATTACTATTCCCATAGATACCATAATTAGGGATGCCACATTTCAGGTAAATGTGCATTCCATTTGTTTGCTTTCTTTCATTCAAGTTAAAACATATCATCTGTGTGTGTGCCACATACATGATATAACATGTGGTACAGACTTAAATCCTCCTGCATGTGTGCCCCTTCACTATAAACTTACTTGAGTGGTGGACGTTCCTCTTTGGGGACTTTTAACTAGGTTGGCAGTGTCCCTTCCTTGTCATCTGGGCCTGAAGTTCAATATTTCAAGAGGCTTTGAACTGACTGAAATGCCCTGCCCACAGTCCGCACTAGATGTATCCAATGTGATGTGGCTGTGTACAAAGAGCAATGGAGAGAAAGTGCTTAGAGCTGCTGTAACACGAACAGACTAGCATGAGTACTTATGTTCCACCAAAGCATTATTACATATGCACATAGAATGAGAGAAACCAATAGGCTCTACACTTGATTAAAACCATAAAATTAAGTTCATAATACAACTAAGAAAATTATTTTAAAAATTTACCACTCTTGAAGTTTCATGGTTTAGTAACTGTTTCAAATTGGTATCCTATAAATGTACAATCACAAAAAGCCTAAGCTAGAACAAAATAGCAGCAGACAAGCGGCACTAAGGGAGCAGCCCAGCCATGAGAATGAAGAGCTGCAAAGAGCCAAAATATATGTTTGCACTCAGCTGATTCACACAGTAGCAGCGTAGGGAACTCTCGGACATGCTTTACGTCGTCACAGCTTTCCATTCTAGTGGCTAGGCCATGCCACCATTATATGTCATCTTATATTATGTCTCTTCAGTTTATGTTGTCCATAAATGTACTTGAATGCTGTACGGGTGGGCCAACATTACAGTTCAAACAGTAGAGCCACCATCCATATCAGAGAAGTTGTGTCCAGCACATGCAAAGCTGTTTAGTATGTTGCTTTTGTTTGAATTATTCATTAAGAACACAAGGTTTCTCATAAGCATATTACACAACCTAAACAATTTTTATAAAGTTTTCATTAAAACAGCAGCTTCAACCTAACAGTGCACTTGATAGTACATCCTATCATTAAGTTACAGCACCATGAACAAACTTTGGGACAGATGAATTCTTTCAAAACATTTAACTACATGATACTATATTTTCGTATGAATGTTGTTAAATAACTGGGACTTATTCTTTGCAACACTTATTTCATACAACACTCATTAAACTTTTGTCTTCAACCTAATCTCCACTGAGCACAATGCACAACTCCGAGCATTTCTGCTATTTCTGTAAAATATGGGTGAAGCCATTTTTCGCCTACCACTTGAAATTGGCTTCGAAAGCCGTGGCTGCATTTTGGGCCGCTCTGAATTGACATTCCTCCAGTTACTTTCTCTTGCCAAAGAAGAGGCAGGGGTCCAGGTACGGACTATAGGGTGGCTGGGAAATGGTTGAAATTTTTTTTCAAGACAGAAATTAGCAACCAGTGCTCACCCTTGAGTTATTAGGGTGAACTCTATAATATCCCACAAGTTCAGGCCTCTTTTGTAGAACATTTCTCATGAATGACTCCAAAACAATTCTGTAGTACCCAGCACTCACTGTCTGGACTGTATGAACTGGACTGTAGTCCATCCTTTTGTGGTTAAATAATGTGATCAACCTTGCCTTGTAAGCCAATCTTTGAGCTTTAGGCATCATTTGTCGAGGACCTTTTTAACCCACTGAATGCTTTGACACTTAATCTCTGGGTCATCGCTGTATACCCAGGTCCTGTCTGCAGTAATAACAGTGCTCCACCTGCTTTAACCTTCTTCTTCTAAGCCTCACTTTCACTCGAGACAAATGTCTATGCAGTTTTGTTTATGAACTGGGGTGAGCAGGCAGGGGATCCACTTTGCACAGTCACTGGACATGTGAAGATGTTTCAAAATATTGCGGGTGCTTTCTACTTTATACAAATTCCATATATTGGGTAGGTTGCTTGACGGCAAGGTGTCTATCGATTTTTGTCATTACTGCTGCAGGGCTGATGATTTCCTCAGAAAGGGCTGTAAAAAGTGCACCATAACCTTCCAGTAAAATTAAAGGTTGTTCCTGCTCTCTTTAAATTCATTAAACCACTGAATAAACACTGCATGAGACCTAATAATCTCATCAAATGCATCGATGCCAAGGGCACGATCAGCTAGCATTGGTGTTCATCGCTGCAAACTGTCGGAGCATAAAAATAAGCAGGATGTGTTTTTAGACCTAGTAGCTACTACGAATGCTGATATAATTTTTGGCCCCGAGTCGTGGCTCGACGACAGTATTTACACCGCAGAAGTGTTTTCTTCACATATAACGTCTATCGCAAAGATTGTGATGCGTGCAGTGGGGGAGCTTTCATATTGGTTAATAACAGATTAAAAAGCATGTCTGTATCAATTGCCAGCCTTCCGTACGAAGCCGTGTGGTGTAAAACTGAGCTGTTACAAGCGCAGCACGTTGCGATGGGCTGTTTTTATCGGCCGCATTTTCGTTCATCAGGAACTGCTGATGTTCAAGAAAAACTCGGCAAGTCAAGTCGATGGTTAAAAAAGCAATTAAGAGAAGTGAAAGATAGCTTCTTTGCTTCCCTGGAAAGAAAGCTGATTACTAATTCCAAGGAAGTTTGGAAATATGTGAAATCAAATAAGAGGGACTCTGTTGGCATTCCGGACATAACTGATGGTGAAACAACATTTTTGGAAGATGCAGAGAAGGCAGTCTGCTTAAACCAGTATTTTCAATCTGTGTTTTCCAAACCATTTAAAGGTGAAATGCCATGTACGATAACCCAGCAATATGAATCTATGTATGACATTATTATTTCGGCTAGTGGTGTGTGCACTCTTCGTGAATGACTTCAACCAAACTCGGCTCTGGGACGGGATGCCATTTCTAATCACGTATTGAAGAGGTGTGCAAGTGCTGTAGCACCCCCCCCTCCTCCCCCTCTCCCCATTTTTAGCCACCTTATTTTTAAAATCAGTTGCAGTCAGAGCCACCTTATTTCCAAAATCAGTTGAAGGTCAAAAACTGCTGTCTGAATGGAAGCTAGCAAATTTTTTGCCAATACCAAAGTCTGGAAACAAAAATAATGTTGCCAACTACTGGCCAATTTCTTTGACCAGTGTATGTTGTAAAACTCTTGAAAACATTATATATAGTGGTATTATAAAGCACTTGGAAAGAAATAATTTTTTTTGTACATTTCAGCATGGTTTTAGGTCTGGTCTGTCATGTGTTACACAACTGTGTGAATTTTCTCATGATGTTTTAAGTTTATATGATAGGGGTTATCAAGTCGATTCAGTATTTCTAGATTTTCTTTCAGAAAGCACTTGACATTTTTCCCCATGCTCTTTTATTACATTAAATTATCTTTTTTAGGTCTGCCTGCATCTGTTCTTGGTTGGTTGAGGGACTATTTAACTTCTAGAAAACAGTCCGTGCGAGTAAATGGTTCGTCTTCTTCATACGCCAGCGTAACTTCCGGGGGGCCACAGGGTTCGGTATTGGGTCCTTTACTCTTTTTGGTCTATATTAATGACTTGTCAGAGACGCTAACATCAAATACGAGGCTGCAAGCAGATGATTGCGTTATTTATAGATCAATACACAGTATGGACAATATTTGTGCTTTACAACGTGATCTTTACATTGTGGTAAGGTGTGTGAGACATGAAAGATATGTTTGAATGTAAAAAATGTTGCTTCCTTAGTTTTACCAGAAAACGCAAACTTTTTCACTTGTCCTACAGCTTGTCAGGAGCCCAACTTGACTGTTTTCAACATTTTAAATACCTTGGTGTATACTTGTCTGCTGATTTATCTTGGAATAAGCATATAGATTACGTAACTGGCAAGGCCAACGGTGTGTTAAACTTTATTAAACACAATTTCAAGTCTGCCCCAAAAAGTCTGAAAGAGGCTTTGCATATTACAAATGCCCAACCTATCCTTGAATACGCCTGTACAGTATGGAATCCTCATGGTCAAACTCTAATCTATAAACTTGAACACATACAAAACCGCGCAGCACGGTTTGTCAGTAATAATTACAATTTTAACTCCAGTGTTACATGCGTTAATAATAACTTATGACGGAAGCCTCTTGAGCAGCGCAGAAAATTCTTGCGAATAAAGTTTTTCTATTCTATATTCTGTAATAAAATTCGTTTTAACAAGAGTTTATACATATATACAATTTATTGTATATATATATATATATATATATATATATATATATAATGCAGTTTTTTCAGTGATCATTTCTATGCGACACTATGTGTCACATAGAAATTATCACTCAAAAAAAAAGTCCACGAGGTCAGCTGTCGTACTGTTGCCTTTGCTAATTCTTTTTTTCCATTTACCATTCGCAAATGGAATAATTTAGATGCGTGTTTTGTTGATCTTTCATCTGATGCTTTTTGTGAATGCGCAGGAGCAGCTGCGCAAATGTACGCCATTTTCGACAGCGCGAACGTGTGCTTTGTTCGACTGTAATACTGCTTTTTTTTTTTCTCACCCTTCTACAATAATGCCCACTTAGGCGATGCAGGTTGCACTAATAAATAAACAAATAAATGGATGAGTGAATTGGCTTTTTTGGGGGGCAGATTTGTTCAGCTGCACACATAACTTGATCGTACAGCATTGCTTATACAAAGTAGCCATCGTTCACACCTACACCACATTTGAAAGCTACAACAAGATGGCTCATATTTGGATGCATAATGCTGCTGCCACATTAGAGTGAGAGTGATGGGGCATTTGGTGAAAATTAAGGGTATCCCCACATTTACACATTAAGGTATCCCCACATGCCGAGATGATGCACTGAGTGCAGTGAAGAGAACCAGATACAACCTTCGAATGAACATACCACTTAATGTCAACACTTCATTTTTCTTCATAAGGGCACATGAATATTAAAATTTTTAGTAAGAATATAGAAAATTTTTAGTGTAAGAAATAGGGTAGCTATTGCTATTGATTTCATATTCAGTGCAATAATTCATTATTTAAACTTGACCATTAAATTTGCTTCTGCTTGAAAATAAAGGAATGAGAACAGTTATTTGAGTTAATGGCGCAAAATAATGATTCAGACAGTGACTGTTCTGAATCGTTCCGCAGCAGAAAAGCCAGAGCTGTTCAGAGAGGACAATTTCTCGAGTGAACAGATGGAGCACTCAATAACATACAATCATTTATTGATGATGATGATATATGGTGTTTTTTGGCGCAAGGGCCATTTGTTGGCCAAAGAGCGCCATTTCATCTTACTAAAAATATGGACAATGATT